AGCGTGCATGTGTGCGCGCGAACATGGGTCGCTCTCTCAACCCCAGCAAAGGAAACAACTAACTCCAGCACAGGAAATCGCACCAGTACGGAGACAGCAAGTACGTATACCACTGCTGTGGCCGGCTGCTCCTGCAGTGCTGTGTCGCGTTCGGAGCGTATGGGTGGGGTTAGGGGAGGGAACACATCCAAGCCAACAAACGCCTCTCTCTAGAAAAACAGAGCATACCCTTGCGCGGGAAAAGACTCACCCGCCCTTGCCAGCGCCAAGTCGTAAGTAGGAGGCCACTTCGTGCTCTTCCTAACGCTAGCCTGCTTTGCTGCTGGTGCTGCCACGACTTGGACATCGTCGCCGCCTCCCCCGGCCGCTTGCTCCTCTCCTCCCCCTGCCTCGAGGTCTCGGGCGTGCTGCTGGCCTAGAGCCGCAAAGCCCACCCGACCAGCTGCCCGTGCCGCCTCCCTCTTGGCAACCTCGTCGCGCGCCAGATGCGCTTGCGGTCTGTCGAAGAGCTCCCAGCCATATGGCCTGAGGCACGCCCACGCTCCTCTGCTCCTGTAGTTGATCTCCCGGGTTAGGTCGCCATGTTCGTGGACGAGGCCACCGAGGTACCGGAACTCGGTCGGCTGGGCATATTTCTGTCCCGCGGCTTCGATGGTCAGTGGTGGAGGCGGGGCGGGCTGTGATGTTGTAGTCGGCTTGTCCTTCGCGCGCATCAGGAGCGTCTCCNTTCCGTCTTCCCCTCCTCCAAGCACACCAGGCTCCGCAGAACAACATCATCCTGTTGTAGTAGACTTGGATGAGTCTGCGGTGCCCCCATGCTGCGTCAGCCTGTGTGGGGTACTCTCTTTCTCCTCTGTCGGTCGTGCGTTTGTCCTGCGGATCTAATACAAGCAATCAACGAGACTTTCTAGTCACTGGACACAAACGCGGGCATACCCGGCAACCACTCCGGCTCTAGGAGTGGTCAACACTCTAGAGTTACGTTCTATCTCCATCGTCCTTGCAAGGAAACGAAAGAGCCCGTGCCAGCAACATGTCGGGAGGAGTCTCGCAGGAGGAGCTCGCTGCTAAACTTGGAGAAGTGGAGAGCACGCTGACGGCGCGCTTTGAAGAACAGCAGACCAAGGCAGAGGGGAGGATGGAGCAACTGCTCAGTCGCTTCGAGAGCCTTCTGCCCACGCAGCCCANAGACTTGGATGAGTCTGCGGTGCCCCCATGCTGCGTCAGCCTGTGTGGGGTACTCTCTTTCTCCTCTGTCGGTCGTGCGTTTGTCCTGCGGATCTAATACAAGCAATCAACGAGACTTTCTAGTCACTGGACACAAACGCGGGCATACCCGGCAACCACTCCGGCTCTAGGAGTGGTCAACACTCTAGAGTTACGTTCTATCTCCATCGTCCTTGCAAGGAAACGAAAGAGCCCGTGCCAGCAACATGTCGGGAGGAGTCTCGCAGGAGGAGCTCGCTGCTAAACTTGGAGAAGTGGAGAGCACGCTGACGGCGCGCTTTGAAGAACAGCAGACCAAGGCAGAGGGGAGGATGGAGCAACTGCTCAGTCGCTTCGAGAGCCTTCTGCCCACGCAGCCCAACGCGAGACGGAGGAGGAGGAGGGTCACACGGCGCCGCGGTGGACGGGGGCGCCTTGGGGGGTGCCGTTGGAATCCCGGAGGGAACCGGGAGGGGTTCCGCCGCAGGGAACCTACCTGAGACTGTGGGCCCCAGCGCTCGGAACGACGGCTGGGTCAGCGGGCCCGGTCCCCAAGGAGGTGAGATGGCCGCCGGTAGCGATGGTGCTGTTGAATGAGGCGAGCCAGCAGGAGGTGGAGAAAAGCCACACGAGGGCAGCGGAACAGGCTTTCATCCCAGCCGACGGCGCCGGGAAGGGCGAAAGTCCCAACCGCGCCCTTCGCAAGGGAAACAGCGATGGCAAAGGCAACGGCGACGAGAGCGGTGGGGGCGGGGCGGAGAAGCGGGCACGCGTCCGATGCTTCCGATGCGGAAAGATGGGGCATCGGATCGCGGAATGCCCAACAAAGGAAAGCGACATTATCCGGTGCGAGGTTTGCAAGGGATTCGGCCACAAAAAGGACCGTTGCACAATGGAAGAAGAGAAAGCGGTGATAGCGGTCGAAATGTCGCAGGATGAGCTAGACATTGCGTGCGAAGCCTTGTAAGGTAGGAAACCCACTATATCCAGCCCCAACACTCCACGCCCCCAGATGTAGGGGGGGCGACTTGAGTTCTTGAAACCTGTGCTTTCCAGATGTAGGGGAAGGCACTGACACTGACGCACTCCCAGATGTAGGGGGGGTAGCGAAAAAAATCGTAGGTGTGCTCTCCAGATGTAGGGAAGGGTACCAACACGCACCCCCAAATGTGTGGGGGGGTAGCGCATGTATCTCACAGGTGTTCTCCCCAGAAAAAAGGGAGGAGGGCATCAGGATACGCCCTCCAGATGTAGGGGACGGACGTACAGCAGTGGTTACACAACAGCGCGCCTCCAGATGTAGGGGGGGTAGCGCCAGCCGACGCACCCCAGACATGGGGGGCAGTAGTTCCTTCACCAGCGCGCCCCCAGATGTAGAGGGGGGGGCGCAGGTCTACGCTCTCCAGATGCAGGGGAGGGCAGCAGTTCTTCACCGGCGCGTCCCCAGATGTAAGGGGGACGACGCGGGTCCACGCTCTCCAGATTTAGGGGAGGGCAATTTTTCTTCACCGGCGCGCCTCCAGATGTAGGGGGGGCAACGCCGGTTAATGCTCTCTAGATGTAGGGGAGGGCGGCATTTCTTCACCTGCGCGCCTCCAGATGTAGGGGGGGCAGAACTGGGCTTTTCGGTTGGGCGGTTGCCCAGATGAAGGGGGGAGCTGCACAGTCATCACAGATCTCCGCCAACGCGCTTCCAGATGTAGGGGGGGCAGAACTGGGCTTTTCGGTTGGGCGGTTGCCCAGATGAAGGGGGGAGCTGCACAGTCATCACAGATCTCCGCCAACGCGCTTCCAGATGTAGGGGGGGCAGAACTGGGCTTTTCGGTTGGGCGGTTGCCCAGATGAAGGGGGGAGCTGCACAGTCATCACAGATCTCCGCCAACGCGCTTCCAGATGTAGGGGGGGCAGAACTGGGCTTTTCGGTTGGGCGGTTGCCCAGATGAAGGGGGGAGCTGCACAGTCATCACAGATCTCCGCCAACGCGCTTCCAGATGTAGGGGGGGCAGCGTGAGCATTTGTCGTTCGTTGTAGTCGGCGCGCTTACCAGGGTGGCGAGCAGCAGCAAGGGTTTTGCGGGTCGGTGGGAGGAGCCGGAGTCCACTTGGCAATGGAGAGAAGACCCCCGCTGAGACCGACAAATGCAGTTGGTACCTGTAGCAGAGAATACTGGTAGCAATTTGAGTTTTCTTGTGTGTGGTCGCACAATATGGGAGGGCATCCAATGTGGCGTTAACCTGATGTTCGTGAACGTGCATGTCTCTGACGACTTCCCCTCAACAGTCGCTACCGTGTTTTGATCGTATCAACGTCGTTCCTTTTTGTTCGCNCCGGAGTCCACTTGGCAATGGAGAGAAGACCCCCGCTGAGACCGACAAATGCAGGTGGTACCTGTAGCAGAGAANAAATCCGGTTGGTACCTGTAGCAGAGAATACTGGTAGCAATTTGAGTTTTCTTGTGTGTGGTCGCACAATATGGGAGGGCATCCAATGTGGCGTTAACCTGATGTTCGTGAACGTGCATGTCTCTGACGACTTCCCCTCAACAGTCGCTACCGTGTTTTGATCGTATCAACGTCGTTCCTTTTTGTTCGCATTGTAGGCCAGATGTCGCGGGAGAGCACAGCTGTGTTTCAGCTAGCGTTGGTGTATTGTTGTTTGTTTTTCCCTGAAAATGTTGAGCTGATCATCCGAACCATCGATGTAGTTTGGTCCGCTTGGTATGTCGCCATGAACGGGAATTGGAGTACATAGCTGAAATAAAATGCCAACGTAGCGCTGTGTTTGGCCTTCGTTTGTAGGGAATTGGAGAAGTTGAGATGACAACGATGATGTTTTATTTTGGCAGTCGTGGAATCATTGCGAGGGTTTTTGGCTCGGAGGCCGGGTTTTCCCTTGCAACGCCTTATTTTTTTCTGTGTGGTTTTTCGGTGGTGTCCGAGTCGTTGAGCAACACACGGTGATGGTTAATTGCTACGGTAGTGTTATATACGACACCGGTGTCGTACTTCCTTATATACGACACCTACCATTTCTTGGCCCACAGGGCTCCAATCGGCGTCCAACAAAATGCGCTGTGTAGCCACGGCCCGCAGCTATCAGCCCATACCATTTTGGGTCAAATCGGCCAAGTGGTTGCGGAGAAAGAGCCGAAAATAGGGGGCTCCGCAACTTACCGGGGGGGTGTCAGCGACGTTCCGGTCATAACTCCTTGCACAGNCGGTGTCGTAGATAAGCTTATATACGACACCGCCCGTTTCTCGCCACACACGGCGCGGATGGACACCACACCACGTGCAATACATTGGTATGGCCCATAGCTACTGTTCAAGTGGCGGTAGAGGTCTGTGTCCATTGGTAGTGGTTTATAAG